CCCCACCTTAAAAAAACAAGTCCTGGAATACCCACTGCACCTACCTGTTTTTGCCCCTGACAGGTAATAACTTTTTCTTCCGTAAAGTGATTATATCTGCATGGTAACCCCTCTCTCCTGCGATGCTTCCCCCTCCAAAGCTGAACGACGGGCAGTTCACCCCCATCCAGCTGGTGGGCATGCTGCGGGGCATCGCCTCGGGGATGAAGTACCTGTCGGAGATGAGCTACGTCCACCGGGACCTGGCCGCCCGCAACATCCTGGTCAACAGCAACCTGGTGTGCAAAGTGTCCGACTTCGGGCTGTCCCGATTCCTGCAGGAGAACTCCTCCGACCCCACGTACACCAGCTCCCTGGTACGCACCGCACCCCCGGACGTGTTGCAAGACATGCCTGATAAAATTCCCCAGTTAATGTGCTGGCACCTCCCCCATCCAGCTGTCATCCCTCCATCCATTCCCACGTTACCGCATCCCTCTTTTAATTTGTTTATCCTGTCTGGGGGTCATGGTTTCTTGCTGTAACAGCTGATAACTGCCCCCCCCCCCCCCCCCCCCCTTCCCATCACCCCTGCAGGCGTCAAGGTGTACATCGATCCCTTCACTTACGAGGACCCCAATGAGGCCGTGCGGGAGTTCGCGAAGGAGATTGACGTGTCCTTCGTCAAAATTGAGGAAGTCATCGGAGCTGGTGATTATTTCGTTTCATGTTTTCCTTTATTCCTCCGCCTCCTCGTTTCGGAGCCGCTCCTGATTTCGAGCGGGCCATTGCGTCAGTGTCCGGGCACGTCGGGGGTTGTATCAGTCAGGTACGCCGACGCAGACCTAGGGGCGTGGGCGGAGGGTGCCGCAAGCAGCCAATACACTCACTTGCTCAACGGCGCCCCCTGCAGACCCATCTAGGTTAGTGCGCTGGGAAAAGGAAGAAAAAAAAAAAACCTTGCACAAAGTGGCGGGGCTTGTCTTCGAGGTATCTGGGAATTCTCAAGGGGAGGGTGCTAAGTCACGAATGCCAGGCCGGCTCAAAGTCGAGGAGTAATATGAAGCGAGAGTTGTTACGGTTATGAATGCGCTGGCATGTCTGTTGCTCCACTGTGGGTGGGAGGGGCAAGGTGGAGGCAAAATGAAACCAGATCAGCCCTTTCCCTTTTGTCTGTGACAGGATTCTTTAGTTCTCTGCCCCGGGTTATGAAGCTCTGTTCTCGCTCTCTCGCCCTGCCTCCCATCTGAGCAGTAAAGCAGTACATTCCATGCTGCACTCTTTAGCGGTTATTGCCGTTACGTTCCCGCGACTCCGAGGCCAATCCGTTTCCTTACGGGTCGGTTTCGCGGTGCGAGCTCACACCCGTGGCGACATCAGGGAGACGGAGAAACTAGGGCGCTTGTGTTTGACCTTCGGGGGGAGGTACACGGGCGAACGGCGAGCGAATGGGGGAGATCGTTTCTACGCCAAGCTTCTCTGTGTCACTCACCCCCCCACCAACACCCCTCCCCTCTCCCCAGGTGAGTTTGGGGAGGTTTGCCGGGGCAGGCTGAAAATCCCGGGGAAGAAGGAAAACTATGTAGCCATCAAGACCCTGAAGGGCGGCTACACGGAGAAGCAGAGGCGGGACTTCCTGAGCGAGGCCAGCATCATGGGCCAGTTCCAGCATCCCAACATCATCCACCTGGAGGGCATCATCACNCCATTCCCACGTTACCGCATCCCTCTTTTAATTTGTTTATCCTGTCTGGGGGTCATGGTTTCTTGCTGTAACAGCTGATAACTGCCCCCCCCCCCTCCCCACCATGGCCCTCCTATCTATGGCAGAGCCTCACGGTTCCTCAGTTAGCGCCCACATGCTATTCTGCTCCCAGTCTGCTGGGACAGATTGGCACGTTAGTCCGCCTCGGTACCGCGGCCCGCCAAACAGACCCGACGAGGTCGGAGCGGCACGGCGTTACCCCCTGAAAAGCCCGCTGGCTGTCGGTCTCCCGGCAGTCACGCAGCGCTGCGTTAAGGCACTTGGCCAACACTGTTTATGACACAGCACGGGGTGAGGACCTCTCTCAGATACAAAGGTATAACTGCCGTTCCACTTCCGGGACACCCAGGCAGCTGGTCTAGTCGGTTACCGTCACAATACTGACCCCATCCACTTCTAATAGGGCGGCAAGATCCCCATCCGCTGGACGGCCCCGGAAGCCATCGCCTTCCGGAAGTTCACCTCGGCCTCGGACGCCTGGAGTTACGGCATCGTCATGTGGGAGGTCATGTCCTTCGGCGAGCGGCCCTACTGGGACATGAGCAACCAGGATGTGAGTGGTTCCGCGCCCATCTCCACATCCTTCCGATCAGGATTCTTGACTTTTCCCGATCCGTCTCTCTATCTCTCTCATGGGACCACATTGTTCTGGTCTTCTGCCCAATTGGATTGGGTTAAATTTAAATTTAGAGCTTGTGGGATGGCCACGTATTGGATCAGCTGCACATTTGGTTCCGTGCCGGAATGTCAAGGCCGAACCCAACGCCCTTGATTGGTTAACCACAGTGAGATGCTCGTTTGTGACTCCACTCTTCCCCCTCAGGTGATCAACGCCATCGAGCAGGACTACCGGCTTCCCCCGCCTCCCGACTGCCCCACCCTCCTGCACCAGCTGATGCTGGACTGCTGGCAGAAGGACCGAGCGGCTCGGCCCCGCTTCGCCGCCATCGTCAGTGCCCTGGACAAGCTGATCCGCAACCCAGCCTCGCTCAAGATCGTAGCCCAGGACGGAGCAGGGTGAGCCGGGGAGGGCGCCGGCCAGCCTGCATTTCCCTCTACACTCCCAGTCACTGAACTGGGAGCTTAAAGCCAGAATCCAATTCCATATGCTGCTCCTTGATCCTGGCAGCTAGCGAATTAGCCTTGCGCTCACAAGGTTGTGGGGTCAGATCCCGGCCCGTTCGGTGTGTGTTGCGTTTGTATGTTTTTCCTCACGTTCGTTTGAGGTTCACACTGTCATCGTGCGTATGTGCCTCGTGTGGCTCAGCGGGTTAGGATGCTGCTTCTGTGATCAGAAGGTCGCTCGTTCAAATCCCAGGGTCGGCTGAGTGATGTCACCATTGGGCTCTAAACAAGGCCCTTAATCCCCAATTGCTCCAGGGATTGTCTGACCTTGCTTTATGTAAAAAAAAAATATGAGTCTTTGGATAAAAGCAAAAATAAAAATGTAAATGACCTGACATCCAAGGTGTCCCTGCCTTACTGGGATGGACTCCAAGCGCGACGATTCCGGGTGCTGCTATATTCCAGCCGTGTCAGAAATGACCGCGTAATTATGTTTATGGTAGCAAGAATCTCATTTCCTCAGAAATAAATAAAGCACTCGGCCTCCATCTAAATGCCTCCTTACCTCCTTCCTAGCAGCTAGACGGCCGGTGGCCATAATCCGGAAAGAGGAGCAATATCTTTTTGAGAATTCAGACAGTGACTGAGCGCAGTGCCAGCCAGTGTGCAGTGTGCAGTGTGCACAGCGTTAATTTTACTCTCTGGAGATTTCCAATACAGACATCACGGGCGTCCCCCCGTGACTGCAAACTTTCCGGGTGTCCTTCGTTCACGCTGGATGTGGGGAGAGCTTAGGATGTGGGGCTGGCCATCTTGAGCCAGAGTGTTTTAGTGCTGGGGGGGGGGGGGGGGGTAACCAAACGCGAATCGTAAAGGGGGGCCATTCGCCTGGTGGCATCGTTAAACAGAAATGACCGGGGGGGGATGAGGGCGACAGAATGAAGATCCGTAACCTCGACCGAAATGGGCCAGGCAGCAGTTGAAGGTCGAGTCTAAAGTGAGCGCTGACGACTGCTCGGGACCGCTGGGGACTTTCATCACTGCAAACAGGAAAAGGTCAAACTGACCAATAAAACTGCCTGTTATTGGTTGAAAAATCAATGGAATAACGATGATCAAATCACCCCTTAACCCCCCCTCCCCCCCACCTAACCTTTGACCTACTTGTCAGTCATGTGATCCTCTGTTGAGATGCCCCGCCCCCCTGACCTTTGACCTACCTGTCAGTCATGTGATCCTCCGTTGAGATGCCCCTCCCCCCACCTGGATGGAACATGACGCCGACTGCCTATGTGACACCCTCCCCCTCCCTTTGCCCAGGCCGTCCCACCCACTGCTGGACCAGCGTGGCCCCCCACCCCCCTCCGCCTGCGGGTCCGTGGGCGACTGGCTGAGGGCCATCAAGATGGAACGTTACGAAGAAGGCTTCCTCCAGGCCGGCATCACCTCCTTCCAGCTGCTCGCCCAGGTCACCACAGAGTGAGTCTCCTCCCCCCATGGTCCCGGCTCCCCCCACTCAAACCGTGGTTCCCTTAACCTTACACTAACTGAATGGGCGCCTTACCTCCTCCTGGCCAGCGAGGGGCAGTAAGATACTGACATGCATCCTCTGAGCTGCGCCTACCACCTGGGTTGGGGACCCGCTCATTCCCCTTGGCTTTTGGTGCCCTGCCAGGACTAGTTAATATTCATGAAGGGAGCACTACCTGATTGGTTGGTGAGTAGGTTGGCAGGGGAAGGCTCATTAATATTCATGAGGCAGCCCCACTTCATTGGCTGGTGAAAGGTGGTAACATTCCCTCTGTCACTAAGTCTTTTCTGACTCGACTCCTTATCAGTATCTGGACCAGCGATAAAGGCCCCACGTGTCCTGCATGCGCTGGAGTCTTTGTGCCCCCCCCCCACAAAAGGTGTCTGATCTGATAAGGCGGGCAGGCTGACATGAGTCTCGTCCCCCCCCCTCTCTCCCGCAGGGACCTCCTGCGCATCGGTGTCACACTCGCCGGCCACCAGAAGAAGATCCTGTCCAGCATCCAGACCATCAGGGCCCACGACGGCACGCTGGGAGCCATGCGTTTTTAAAGATTCCGGGGCCCCGCCCCTAGCCCCGCCCCCTCTGGACAATAGGAGGACTCTCCAGCCAATCAGCTGCTCATCGCTAAACATGATTTTCCCGGTTGTATTTTTCCTTCCTCCCCCCCTTGCCACCACCCATTAATTGCCCAGGACTTCTGTGCAGACTAAATACAACCCCCCCCTTATTTTTACATTGTGGAGGGTGGGGGGTCATCCTGACTTGAAGCACAAACCACAGACAGACCCTACTCTTAGGTGTCTGTTCTTCCCAGATAGCTGGTGGAATGAAGCACTGAGCCCCTCAGCAGAACCAGACCTACGGACCTTGATTAGGTGCCGGTTCTGCTGCAATAGGCCAAAAGAACCAGGTTCCACCAATGTGGCACGCGGACCTTGCTGCATCTCTGGATGGGACTGGCGTGAGTTCTGCAGCAAAGCCTGTTTGCTGACCTGGGATCAGGAGTGAATGGATTCATTTGGATTTCCTACCTGGATCAGCCCAAAGTTCCGCTTCGCGGTGCTGTACTTCCTCTTCTCACAGACTGTTTTTCCCCTCCCTATTTACTCTTTCTTTTGATCTCCCAGTACTGGGAGACGAGGAGGGACCAGGGGTGTATTTAGCACTTGTTAACGTCCGGAAGGAGCCGCGATCCCTCACTGTTCCGGCTCCATTCCCACTTATCCGGACCAAAACTTCCAGTCTCCCCCTGGACCAAGAACGCGGTTCCAGCCTGTAGGAGCCCAGCCCCTCTAACCTTCACTACACTGTGCTGCCCGCACACAGCAACCCCTACAGGTACCGTACGGTACTGCGAGCGACAGCCACACCCAGAACGGTTCTGTCGGCATTCGGTATGTGAACGGGCCCCAGGCCCTTGGAATTCTGGGACAATATTTCTGATCTTCACATTGAGGATCTGTTATTATAAACCAATGATTTTTTTTTTAAGTTTCCTTTTTATTTGTATAAATATACATATATATGGGTTTGAGGCTTCACTCCCCGCAGTGTGTAATCTCTGTGTCTGGTCACAATAAAGATTCACAGCACTGTTTACCCCGCGACTGTGTCATTTCGGCGCCCGTCCGCTCCTCCTATTTATGACTCTCGTAAAGTTTTATCGCTCCATTCTGCGTTTATACCCAAAAAGACACGCTCCCCCGTGCCTGTAGCACACTCTGGCGTGTGTCCTGCCCCCCATCCATCCCCCGCCGGAAGGGCGCGCACATACGCATCGTGTCGTCCAAGCGCGTAATTGTTTCTCGGTTGCTTGTTCTGGAACGCTCTTTCCCGGTGTGTTCCCTGACCTCTTTGGACCTGGATCCAAGGAAAAGCGGCAGTTTCAGGCGCCGCACACGCCCCGCCTTGCACTGCCCCCTAGTGGCGGGGTATTGGGGACCCACTGCGAACCCTCCTTTCCGTCTGCCCTTGAATCACCGTTTCAGCTCTGCCTTGTAGAATCTCTCTCTCTCTCGTCTCTCGCTCCCTTCTTCCTCCACAGGGGCTGGGGCCAGGCTCACTGTTCCCTCAAGGCTCTTTATCTCTCCTTTTCTGTCCCCCTCTCCGTTCGCCCCCCCCCCCCCAGTGCCCAGACGGGCGGCGACTCACAAAAGCAGATTCTCGTTCCGTCTCCCTTGGCTTCTCTAAGTCCTGGATTTGGAAAAGGGACGGAGTTAAAAGGAGGAAGGACTCAGGGAGTGGGGGGAGGGGGATAATACCCTCCCACTCGCCATGCGGGCACTGAGACTGGGCAGAGACTTGTGCCGGTGGTGGAAATGAGGCTCGGTGCCCACCGTGAGGCGCTATCACTGCGTGCTGTCAGTGTGCTTACCCGCCCTGTGCAGTGTGGAATCTCCCCCAATCCAAGGACAGATGGTTAGGTGAGTCGGTGTCTAAATTGCCCATTTTTGCGTCTGTCTGTGTATCATGACCTGTGATGGACTGGCATCCCATCCAAGGTTGCCCCCCCCCCCCCCCCCCCGCCTAGGGAGCTGTGCTTCTGGGACAGCTCCAAGCTCACGGCGCTGCCCGGTCTGGAGAGGATGAATGGATGGATGGATGTGTGGATAGTATTTTAAAAATCCTCAAATAAACTGGATGACGGGACACTGTAAAGGAGTGTTTAAAATCGGAAAACCGGAGTTGGTTGACAGAGGGAAATGTAAAATATAAAGAAAACAGATGGAAGATTCCGGAATGAGCACGACTGGAGATTCCAGTAGAACAGGGTGCACCTCCAGCAGCATACCTGCTTGACACTTGAAATCTCGTTCATTCTACCGAACACCCCTAACAGGAGACTTCAGTCAACCCCTCCTCCCATTACACCCCCCCCCCCACCCGTATCGCCATGTTACATTCCTGAGTACGGCCGGGCGAGGTTGTGGAGGGTTTAGGGAGATAAGGATGCAGAAGCGAATAGCTGTGGGTGATAGTGGAGGTGTGTGCACGTGGGGGGTGAAGCGGCCCCCACCCTCATTCTCAGGAATGCAATCGACGCTGCAATCTCAGTCTTCAGCTGCCCTTCGCTTAATTTCCCCTCCTCCACCCTCGCTAACCCTGGCCGCACCTCCTCCTGTCCGTCTGGTCTCATCCCCCGCTTCTATCTTCCACTTCATCCCGCCGTCTTGCCCTAAGCCTGCCGCTCGTTAAAACATTAGTCCTCTTTTATTGCCGTCTTCCTCTCCACTCGTTTATGGGCTGATTTTTTTTTTTTTTCTTGCTGTGCCGGTATCCATCCATCTTTCCTCTATCACTGCTGGCCTTATCTCTGCTCGCCTCGGCATTCTTGGCTATAGGGGGCATCTTTACACGAGGGGGGGGCTCAGCCTCTGGCTCCCCCCAGGTTTAAGTTCCTGTTTGCCCCCCCCCCCCAGTCCCTCCCTCGGAGGTAAAATTAAAAATCTGCAATCAGGCTCCATGGATTCCTTTCGCCGTTTTATCTCGGTTCAGGAGACCTTTTTATGCCTCTCCTGTGAGTTATCATTTTTCGGTGAAACGCGACTGAAAGACGATCTAGGAGCGGATCGGAAACAGCTGTTACAACATTTACATTTCGGCCGTATCGCGAAACAGGTGTGGGCTGCTCTAGGTGAAATAATGGAGTCTGGAGGGGAGGGGGCGCACTTAAGGGTTAGAGGCGGGATGAAGTTCAGTTCCCCTCGCCTGTGAGCTCACTTTCATTTTATATTCAAGCCAGAAACTTGAAAAGGATACCCACCAAAATTTGATAATTCCCATAAATGTCTTCCCTTGTATTTACGGCGGTGAGACACCGTTCCGAGTAATGCGTTTGCAAGCGTGTGGATCGCGGCTAGAGCCAACTGTTCCCAGCGAGTGTTTTTAAGAGTCGGCGAGAGGAATTTGTGGCACTTTTTCAGGGAAGGGAAGCAGACATTTTGCTTACGGAAATAGAGATATGACACAAACAGGAGAATTGGGTAAAGTTTTGCTTAGGTAAGCTGTTGTCATTTTGGTTATATGTAAATACTGTGACCTCTGGATGTGGTTGGAAGAATAAAAATAAACCAAAAATCTCTGTGGTTCTGCATCTAGGATGTTCTGGGGGGATGGGAGGGGGGGTTGGGCTTGCCGCTGGGCTAGTCGGCTGACCCTTTAACCCAGAACCTAACTCCGCCCCTCCAAAAATACAAACCAGAAGTAACTTACTTTCAGACCTACTTTTACACAGCAGGATAAGCCGCTGAAGCAGGCCAGGTCGAGTATCTCTCTCTAGATATACGCCTCTGGGGTATGACCCAACAACCTACTGTTTAAGCCTTCAATCCCTTTGGTACTGTTGTCCACAGCGATGCTCTTCTAATCACAGCCGTGTTCATTATTCTTGTTGACACAAATATCAGCCAACATTGAAAATCTGTGGTTTACTGACAGATTAGAACAGTGTTTAAGACTGAATCGTTCGTAGCTCGTAGATCGGAACGTTGTTGGCTCAAGTCCCAGGGTTGGCAGAGTGATTTCACCGTTGGGCCCTTGAATAAAATAATGCAAGTCGCTTTGAATAAAAAGTGTCTGCTCAATAAATAAAATGTAAATTTGTATCTGATCATCTAAGCTGGGCTGAATTCCTAATCCCAGCTCAAGAACTATTGACTCCCTGCTTGTGAGTCCTTTGTACCCCGTGAACTTGGCTTGTTGACCTTCCTGACAAAGGTCTGTAGACAGACGATCGTCAAAATGTGCCGCCCCGCTACGACCACAGCATCCAGCTGATCTGCGTATGATGCCTTTTGCCCGAATCTTTAAAGCGTTTAAAAGTAATATTTTGAAGCAGCGGCTGTGTGGTGAAGCAGCTGAGTTTCCTGAAGCCACTCGGCGTCCAGTCGTCGGTATAAGCGGGTGCGAGTCATGCGGCACGCCGTCTCCGGCTGCACGTCAGCGGGGGGGGGGACGAAGGCGCGAGGAGATGCCGGGGAGCATTCCAGGGGGGCGCGATCGTCCCTGCAGCTGATTAGTGTTTCTGACCAAAAAAAAAAAGATCCGTTTACCAAAAAAAAAAATAAAGATCAGTTTTTTTAGAACAAGATTACTGGGCCTTTCATAGATTTATCGGGGGGGGGGGAGAAGAAAAACTCAGTGTTAAATATCTGCTTGCGTTCAGAATTGCAAACGAACCGATCGCAGGCAAACCGACCCAAAGCTGCCCTCACCAGCCAGACTGTGGTCCTGGCCGGGCCCCTAATTAAGGCTGTATATCAATTCTGACCCCCTCCTCCGCCAAATCCATCCCCACTGGCTCAGCTTTGATTACAATCAGTGCAGGTTCGGTCAGCGAGCGGCTGGCATGATCCCCCCACTCCACTCCCCCCCCCAGAACATCCTAGATGCAGAACCACAGCCCACCGAAACATACATGGCTGGCTCGTCAGATTGCACCGTGTGTGTGTGTGTGTGTGTGTGTGTGTGTGTGTTTACACAATTTTGTGTTTACACAATTTTGTACAGCTTCCAGACGAAGAAATCCAAAACCCACAACATTTGGTTCCGATTACCACGCCCTGGCCTGCTGCACGAGTGTGTGTGTGTGTGTGTGTGTGTGTGTGTGTGTGTGTGTGTGTG